GCTGGGGAAGAACTGTGAAATCAACAGAGGAGAGCTGACAGCAGGGGAGGGAGGTGGGGTACAGGCTGAAAGCCAAGGTGGCCTCCAGAGGTCATGAGCGCAGCCAACGCCGAGAAACGCTCAAGGCCCCAGCGGCAGCAGATCCACACGTGGCGAGCTGCAATGCGGTGCTTTCAGTGCGAGGCCCACTCCTTCGTGGAAGGGCACCGAAGCAGACACCTGTTGCACAGAACTGAACAGATTTCTTTACGAACCGCGTCTATGAGGCACCATTTCCGTGGGCCACCTGCCAGGAGCCGGGCCCAGCCTTGTTATACAGGACCAGATGTGACAGGGCCATTGGCTATGGTTGTCTATATACACCAAGAAACGGTAAGCCCCATTCATCGGTGTGTCATAGCAAAGGGGAACTTTTGAACTATCAGAAATCCAACAGGATGCAAGTTTTGTTGCCTTGCACTGCACTCCAAATTTTGAAAAACATCTCACTAAGTATATCTTGAATTATATATGCAAGGACAAAGTGCTTACTGTTTATATAAGTAAAAGGGTATGTAAATCAAATTATGAAATTAATCGTGCGTTCATCAAGCTGTTTAGCTGGTAAAGCGCTACCAGCAGCAAGAGAGAAATAGTCGCTCACCTCATGGAAGAAGTAGCTTAGTGGATAGGACCAACACTTGCTCTTGAAGAGGAATATAGAGTGCTATGAGAATACAGCAGGAGGAGCTTCACCCCAGCGGCACAGGGCCAAAAGAGAAAGTTCTGGAAGAAGCAACATGTGACACCTGCCACAAAAGAAGGGGAAGAGTTGGCTAAGCCAATCAGGGAGTGAGGGAACAGCACAGAGAAAAGGGAGTGGCAAGGTCAGAAAACAAAAAAAAGAAAGGGGAGTGAGAGACAAAGTCCCCAGGCTGAAGACAGAAGCCACGGGGCCCATGGAAGCCCCATGCAAGATCTGGGCTGGGCTGCATCCAGCAGATGGGAGGAGGGTAGTGGGGTGGAAGGAGAAGGCCTGCAGGGAGGGCACCACAGGTGGCAGGAAGAGCTCAAAGCGGGCACCACAGTGGTGCAAGCGAGACACGGGGCTCAACTCCCAGAGCAGAGGCAGGACCAGAGACAAGGCACTGCCAGCAGACAGAGATGGGGTGCAGGGGGAAGAGTCCTGATTTTTTTATCATTGATTTAAAATATATCTTCCATTATATTTTGTAAGCATCACAAATTGATGTGCAATTGCCCGAGGAGCTTAGCACCATACAGAAGTCTCTCCAGACTTCAAAGATGTCGTAATCGGTTTGGTGGTTAATTGATGGGAAGGAATTTTCAGCGCTTAACAGTGCAACAATGGGAATGAGCACGGTGGCAGGCTAATCCACCTCCTGAGGTGCTGGCATACCATCTGAGCACCGGTTCAACACCTGGCTGCTCCACTTCAGGTCCAGCTCCCTGCTAATGTGCCTGGAAACGCAACAGAGAATGGCCCGGGTCTTTGGGTCCCTGCACCCACGTGGGAGACTCAGAAGAAGCTCCTGTCTCCTGGCATTGGATTGGCTCAGCTCCAGCCATTGCAGCCACTTGGGGAGTGAGTCAGCAGATGGAAGACCTCTCTTTATTTGTCTTTCCTTCTCTCTGTAAAATGTGTCTTTCAAATAACAATAAAGAAATCTTATTTTTTAATAACAATAAGATGAACTCTTGGGTAGGCATTTAGCCTAGCACTTAATAAACCACTTAGGACACCTGTGCCCTGCATCAGGGTGCCTGGGTTCAATTCCTGGCTCTAGTTCCTGAATCTAGCTTCCTGCTAATGTAGACTCTACAACACAGCAGCAGTGATGCAAATGACTGACTTCCTGCCACGTTTGTGGGAGGCCTAGACTGAGTTCCCAGTCCCCATCTTCAGTTCTAGCCTGGTCCTAGTGCTGTAGATAAAAATCTCCCAGTGGATGGGAGACTTTTCTGGTTCTCAAATAAATTAAAAAAAAAAAATTTAAGTTTGTTTTTCTACCCAGAGGGTAAGAAAAAATGAGTTGATGAAACAGTATAAGGCACACCAGGAAAACTATGGACTCTCTAAATTTCTGAAACAAAAATTAGAGCCCTTCCCAACTCCAGGTCTTCCTGTGATCTGTGTTGCCTTGAAAATGAAATTTATTGGGGACTAGCATTGTGGTACAGTGTGTTAAGCCTCCACCTGAAACACCAGCATCCCATGTAGGTATCAGTTCAAGTCCCAACTGCTCCACTTCTGATCCAGCTTCCTGCTATTGCATCTGGGAAAGCAGCAGAAGATGGTCCCATGTAGGACACCTGGGAGAAGCTCCTGTCTCTAGTCAATCAGTAGATGGAAGATTTTGTTCTTCCTTCTCTCTTTGTAATTTTGCCTTTCAAACAAATAAAAAATAATTTTAAAGAAAGCAAGGAAGGTGAGGTTTACCCTCAGAAGCTGATGCTCTCACTCTCTTGCAGAGCTCTGTTTAAAAAAAGAAAAAAATCCAAAAGAACAGTAAAGACAATGGATGAGGATCTCAACCCAATCAAAGACCCTGCTGTTTCAGGGCAACTTCCTTCCCGAAGGCTGATGACCAGTCCCACTGGCTACCACACTCACAGGTCACTGTGTTGTGTGAGCATCGCGTGCACCTGCGTGAACCTTGCCTGCTGCTCCTGGACTGCTGACTCACCCAATCCATCATGATCGCAAATGCTGGAGACGGTGTTAACACAACGGGTGGGGTTCGTGAATTCGTACAGGAAGAATTCTAGGCTGCCAGAGTTTTTCAGCTCTGTCATAATTTCACAGGACCATTGCTGGTGATGCAGCCGCCATTGATCCAAACCTCATTATGGGCTGTGTGACCACACAAGCAAACCGGGGCGGGGAGTGGGGGCTCTGCAAGCCACAGAGAACATGGCAAACACCGCATGGGCCTCAAACACGCCAGAACATCAACAACCCCGGAAACACATCTCGGGCATCTTTGCCTGTGTCAGAAAAATCAACAGGGACGATGCACTGTTTCAGTCTGAATGTGCCTGTGGCTGTTTTTAAATTTGCTTTTATATGAGGAAAGCTGAATGTCCCTTCCTTTGGTCACTGTTTCATAGGCCTTCCTTGTTTTCCTACTAGACTTGAGCCTTCTTGCTTCTTCTCTGTTGCACTCTTTATTAAACAGAGCCATGAAGCTTTGGACTATACTGCAAATTGAAAATATCATATCTCTAAAGATCAATAAAGTACTAAATTTAGAGGAAAAAAAAAATCATCTGTGATGCTGGGGGCTCCAACGCCCCCGGTCCTGAAGAAGGAAGGCTTCCAAGACAACACACTGCAAAGGATGCTTCAAGCCAGACACAAAGAGGCTAGGTCCAATTCCGAAGCAGCATGTGCTGAATACACGGAGAGCCTTCCGGTACACCTGTGTGTGACAATGTCCTCACTCGGCAGGTGAGGGGGGCCAGGGAGGAGTCTCAACTCATGGGAAACCCAGGCTAATCAACTGCTTATTCTAGGCCAGGAATAAGGGCGAAGTCCCTCAAAAACACCCAGTGAAAATTCAAATTAGATGGGATTCCACCTCCCCCCCACCCTTTTCTCTCACATGACCCCATATAAAAGGTCATCTCCATTTTCAAAGTCACAGAGCAGTCTTGTTTTAAGGCCTGGATGGGGGAATGTCTGGCCCATAGGCTATTACAAGGCCTACAGAATCACTTGGTCTGGTCCTTCCAAGGCAACCACAAGCAGAACTCAAGATTCCAACAAATCCGTTTAGTGGGCTCATTTTTCAAATTGATCATTTTGTAACGGCCCACAAACGATTCTGGAAATATCCAAATGGCCTTGGCTGGTTCCCCACCCGTTTCAAGGGTTAACCCAGGAATGAAAACTGTTTCTAGCATACACTTTGAAATCCACAAACCTAAATCCCCCAAGAGGCTAAACAGGGCCTTGACATTAATTTTAGCATTCTATTAAGTTGTGCTGGATGCACACAAGGGAAAGCTGTCCTCGCTGGGCAGAATGCAGGGGGTCAGTATGTGCTGACAGGGACAGTCGCCTGGGATAAACCGGTGAAAGGCAAAAAGTAAGCTGAACAGCCAGAGAGACAGCAGCAAGCCATTTCTGCTTAAAAAACAAAAACAAACAAAAAAACCCCCTATATGTCCATGCGTATATAGAAATATTTTTCCCTTGGGGCTCAGAAAGAACATATACAGCCATTAGCACGTGGTCCCCTAGAGAGCAGGAGTAGGAGAAAGGATAGAGGACTTTCCTGTTACTTCGTCCACACCTGCAATGCTTGCATCTCCTGCCTAACTGGCACATAGCAAGCACTTCTTCATTGCATACACGGTGCAATTACATCACAGGTACATAACGGGCAATAGCCAAACCAGGATAATTAGCAGATCCATATCTCAAGTATTTATCGTGTCTTTGTGTTGGGAACATTCAAAACCCTCTTGTAGCTGGAAGTATTGTATTCTGAAAAATACAATAACCATTACCTGAACTAAATCGCTAAGCCTGCTGTGTGGCGGACCACAGGATCCCGGGCCTCCTGTCCAATCATTAGCCAGTCCCTGCTTCTCTCTCACGTGTCCCTACTCTTCCCAACCTTGGGTCATTACTATTCTACTCTGCACTGAGAAGATAAGTTTCTCAGCTTCCACATGTTACAAAGAAATTCTGCATTTTCTTGTATCAAACATAACTATGTTAACTTGCAAAGGCAAGTTCCGTTAAAGGTAACTGCAAACTATTCCCAAACCAATGATTTCTCATGATTGCCCTCTGAGCCACAGCTCCAGTATCCAACAATAATGAGGCTATTTCCAAAGGGGTTTGCTCTTCATCTTTAACATGGGAAGGATGAGAAGATAGATAGCTGTAAGCCAGGGAAGCGACCAAAAGAACCTCAGGAGCAAGAGCCACATTCGAGCCTGCAGCCCCTGAACACAAGAACACTAGAGGTGAGCATACACAGACTTACCAAGTAGAGGTTGTTTTTGTCTTGGAAGGCATACTGTAATTGGGGGATCCAGGGGCTTGTGCTCCAAGACAGTATGTTTCGTTCTTCCTCAAAAAATGAAACCTGGGGAAAAAAAGAAGCCATTTTAGTCAATTATAAAGAATTAAAAGGAGTGGTTGGGGGTGGTATGGGAACAGTCCTTTTCTCTTTATAAACTGCTGTTTCTGATTGAAAAAAAAAAAAAAAAAAACACGGGGCAGGCAACGTGGTGCAGCAAGTTAAGCCACTGCAGAGGATGCCTACATCACCTACAGGGTACCTGTCTGCATCCCGGCTACTGCACATCAGCTCCAGCTGCCTGCTAACCCATCCTGGGAGGCACAGAGGATGTCCTAAGTGTTTAGGATGGAGTTTGGGGCTCCTGGCTTCAGCCTGAACAAGTCCTGACTAATGTGGACATTTGGGGAGTGATTCCTCTATTACTCCCTGTCATTCTGCCTTTCAAAGTACCAGATAAAAATACATAAATACTTTCAAAAAATAACAAACAAACAAGAAAGTCATCACTTAGCATTTCTCTTAATCGTGTGCTTACTTAGCTTACAACGTTTTGGCCAGATCTGTGGTATTACCTCTCCAGTCATTTGACATCTTTCTTTAGAGCTAATTCACTTGGGAAAAAAAAACTGAATAGACTTCTCTTCCAGTTTACTTTCCTGCATACTCAGTCCTAAGCCATTAGGCAGACTGGAACAAAGTGAGCATTCATGCCAGAGAGAACCGTGGTGCCCAGAACAGGCTGCCAGGCCCAAGCGGAGCAGGTAGAGAGCAGCCAGGTGTGCAGGGGCGGCCTAGAGCAGGAGATGTGAGCCCACCAAGCAGAGGACGGGAGTTATGATGCATATTAACATACAGAACAAATACAGTTAAGGAGAGAACGCCAGAGAAAGGAATTACAAACACGGAAAGAGTGTAAGTAAAAAGAGCCGTAAGAAGTTGAGAATTGGGGGTATTAGAGTGAAGGCATGGTTCTTCAGCGAGACACAGAAATGAATAAAGATGTGTGGGTATGTACATAGGACTGCGTGCACGTATGCGTACGATGTATATTCACATCTGTACTTCTTACTGCTGTCCACAGGCAGTGATACCCTGTGAGCAGTACAGACACGCAGTGCCCAGATCTTGGTCTCTAAGCACCATTTTGCACAAAAGGAACAGGGAACCTTGTAGAAACGTGAGCAACATCAGACAAATCTTAAGTTTTACAAAATCAAGTGGCCTGTAATTTTCAGAATCACCAAGTTATCATATGAGTGCAGGGAAAATTCGAGGAATCGTTTCCAAATAAAGAAAACCAAGAGACAAAAATACTAAACGGGATGTGTCATCCTGAACTGGATTGTGTATGATTTTTTTTTTCTTCATTTTATTTGAACGGCAAAGAGAAAAAAAAAAAAAAGGGAAAAGATTTTTGCATTCATTGGCTCACTCCCTACAACAGCTGGGACAGGGCCAAGGCTGAAGTCAAGAGCCCAGGACGGAATCTGGATCTCCCATGTGGGTGGAGAGACCCAAGCACCTGAGTTATTACCTGTTGCCTCCCATGGTGCACACCAGCAGGCAGCTGGAATTAGAAGAGGAGCCAACAAGAACCCTAAGCACTCCAGTAAGAGATACATAAACCTCATGTAGCACCCTGACCACTGTGCCAAATGCGCAATCCTAGGTCAGTGATTAATAAACACACACCCATTATGCCCATGAATTTCAATTTTTCACACCAAAACACATTTATCTTTTAATTCCACTTTGCATGAACTACAGTCTCTGGCTGTATTTCTCAAAGGAACCCTAAGTTAAAATTGTTAGAAATTTGGGATTATTTCAAATTTCAAAAAAAAAAATCAAACATACTTTCTTCTGATTCGTTCTAACACTAATAAAATCATAGGTTTGGAGGCTCTGGTTTAATATTAAGGATTTAAATATCTTTACACAGTCTGACCACCATACTGTGAAAATCACCTCACCCACTCCCAGCGACAGAGCTAACGCATCCCAGGAACGCAGACGCAGCTCGGCAATTTTCCACCCGGAAGTGCTGATGTCCTTCCCCTGTCCGGCTCACAAAAGGTGCTCATTGGAGCTTGGCTGCACAGAACAGTCTCCACTCTTGCTTGCTTTCCACTGACTGTCTGACTTCTGGAGCCTCCGTCACAGTTGGCGGTCTCTGGGGACTTCTTCCGGTTGTCATAGAACTCTGGGCAGGCATGCAGCCTCGCCTGGCTGACCACAGGCCTTGTCAGCAGGACACCACCTCCCCCGATTTCCTGTCTGGCCTTTCCTTTCACTGGCTCCCTGTGCTGGCTTCTCTGTCCTCACACACCCTAAGAATTTTAAATCCTTACCATGACTCAGTTAAACGCATCCTCTCAGCAAATGCAGGGATGCACGGATCTCACGAGCGCCTGTGTCTGTAGGATTTGTCCCCACTCTCCCCATTCAACACAGTCTCTTAAAACCATCTGCCTGGCCAGGGATGGGATGGGGCATCTTGCCCCACAGGCTGTATGAGGCCCATGAAAATCATTTGGTCTGGCTCTGCCAAGGTGACCGCAAGCCGGACTTGAAACCCAGCACACCTTACGAAGGCTGGTGTTGAAGCTGACAGTTTCATTTGGCTTGCAAATGACACTCGAAGTATCCAAATGGCCCTTGGCAGAAACAAGACCCCCCACCCCCGCTCCCACCCCACCCCCCAACCCCCCAACACCTCCAGGCCAGGGGTACAAAGCTTCTGTCTGGGATAACCAGAAAGTTCTCAACATGGATGTCAGCCACAGCTGTGCACCACACTGTGAATGCTCTTAAGACACTGAATTATACATGTGGAAATGGTTACCATGTGAGTTACATGCTACATATATCTGACCACAGTTTAAAAAAAAAATTCTTTGAGATTTTCCCCCAGTCACCCCATTATAGATTGAACAGGCCTCGGCTCCCCACACTGCTACAGATGTTTGAATGCCACAGTCTAATGTTAACCCTTAATGGGTCAGTGCCAATATGGTTACAGTGTTCTGTTGGGGGCAGACCACTCACAGAGGCCCAAGGCGGGGTCTTGGGAAAGCCAGTGGGTTAGACTAGGTTGCTGTTGAGTCAGGATGGCATTGGAAGGAATGTGTTCCCTGCATCCCCGTCCATCCCAGCTCGCTCTGTGACTTTCCCTCCACCACACGCAAGGATGGCAGGGCCACCCAGTCTTGAATTGTAAGACTAACAGGATCACCCAGTCTTGAACCTCTGAACTGGAAGCCAAAACCAACCTTTTCCTTCCCAAGAAGCTGCTCTCCAGAATTTTCTAAGTAATGATTGACAGTGGGCGGAGTTTGCATTAGACCTGACACATCACTCAGACCTCCGACCGGATGAGGAAGAGGCAGTGTAGATCCGGTACTTCACCTGCACGGCACTCCCGGCCTGGACGTCAGGAGGGGTATAAGCACCGCCTGCTGGCTTCTTTGGGCACCTTTGTCACCCGCACCTTTTCATCCCTGCGGCTCCCTGCTTTCTCTCTGCCTCTCCATGGAGCTGAGAAAAGGCCCGAGAACGGACTTGCCCCAAATAGAGGCCCCTTGTCAATAGTCGGCCGAGGTTTTTTTTCTTATCCTGGTGGTCAGTGAGCCTTATAATGATAAGCTGACTTACACACCCCTCACTTGGCACATGTCTTCGTTTTGCCCCATTTCCCAGTCTGTTTGTTCTAAGCCACAACACACATACGCCATACTAGTACAGCAAGATATATACACACGCAGTGTCCTAGTACAACACACACATACACACATGTGCTAAGTACTACACACGCACCCTTCCATGGCTTTCCAGTACCACACACACCACCTTCTAGTATCACACATAGTATCACACACAGCATACTACTAGAAACACACACAGCTTCTGAGTAACAAACACACCCACATATTCTAGTTCCACAAACACAGCACTCTAGTATCAAACACACATACACACTCACCCCACATTCTAGTACCACATACACACACCAACACACACGGTGTCAAATTCTCAGACCTCCAGAGTATCACACACAGTCAAGTTTGCACCTGTTCCTTCCCCTCACGTCTACCCGTCCAGAACCCAACATTCAACTCTCCTCAGCAAGAACTCTTCCTCACTGTCCCGGGTGGGGATCACCCACAACACCTCCCTCACAGGGCTGCTAATGAATTTGCTAATTCCATTCCCCCTCTGCAATGCTTAGACGGTGAGCATCTGCTTCGTATGTTTGCATTTTTTCCCCCGTCCACTTCCAGGGTTGTCTCAGAGCCCTGACGGTAACAGCCATGCAAGTTCAATTCCATTTGCAGGCTCCCTGCAGGGCCGGGCACGTTATCCGACCCATGAAGCACGTGAGCACATCTGTCACTAAGGAACAGCTTTGAGCTCCAATGCTAACGGACGTCTCTCTCTCAAACACTGCAAACCAATCAATGCACCTGGGGACACGACCACGTCTCATAGAGAGAAAAGCACCACAGCTGAAGAGATGGCTTCTATGCCTGATCGCAAACAACCAACTTGCTCACCATGTAATAAAGCTATTTTCTCTACCTCCTTCGGTGGCCTGCTTTAAAATCAAATACACAGGCCCATGACGTCAATATTTGGAAAGTGGACAGAAGCCAATGCTGACTGACTCACCCCACAATGCACATGTCCCTGAATCCCCAGCTGGTGGCCATGAAAGATATCTCCAATCCATTAGGAAAAAGGCCAATACGGTTTTAAAATAAAATACAACCAGAGAAACATGATTTTTAAATAATAATAATAATAAAGGGGAATTCGGTGAGCTTTCAAAATTAGCCAATGTGGATTCAGAAAGTAAAGCTGACACCACAAGAGACCTTTCATGTCACAATAGCCAGTCACAGAGGTGAACTTGCTAGCTCCTAGATGCCAACTTAGCAGATTGCTATCTCTGTCACGAATATTCTGGAACAGCCAAGGGAAGAGTGTGATGTGAAAATGTTCCTACCTGTTCCTGAGCCAACAGGGCCTTCTTCTTCATGACTTTCATGGCGTAGATGTCACCAGTTGCTCTCTCTCTTACCACCTGCACTTCAGCGAAGTGCCCACAGCCTACAAGGCTTCGGACCTCGAAGTCTTTCGCCGAGGGCTGCAGCTCCCGTAACTCAGCTATGGTGTCAGAATCTGCAGGAGATGGAAGGGTTACTCGCAGGTAAATACAGCCCTCCAGATGCATGCATCTTTATGAAAACGGAAATGGGGGAAAACGTGTTCTTATGTCTCACCCCGCTCTCAAAAGACATTTAGTCACTTTCTCATCCATCACGAATAATTATAAAATCGGCACCAAAGTGGTTTTATATGTTAAGTTAAAATTAAGGGCTCCAGAAATTCCAAAGTACAGTTTCCATGGCAGCTATGATTTGCATCCTGTAGAGCAGGAAAGAGAGAGGCAGAATAAAAATCCATGCTTTTCTTTTCCTCTCTAAAGGCTGCCGGGCAGTGTGTGGTCAAGCAGGCTTATCAGCATGTGGACGGTTTTACAACATGACATAAAGCAACACGATTCCCATTTCAATTAGCTGTGAGCTGGCTTCTAGCTCACTCCATTTTAATTGCATATGCTCTATGCAGTTTAGCCCACCAGCCCCCATTTTATTTCCCTTGGATTCTATCAGTAATGACAAGGTTTTTACTTGCCTAATGAGCAACAGTGCTCAAAGCACAAGGACTACGGGACTTAGCCCAGGGAACCAAACACAGCCCTGATATTTACTCTGCAGGGTTGGGTCTGCAGCTGTCTTTTTCCTTTGTCTAGAGTTGTACTTCCTTTTCTAAGTCCAATTTGTCAAAGATCTTCAGAATACAAAGCATAGACTAAGTGGGCGGCAGGTTTGTAACTCAATACAAGAGAGGTCTTCAGAATGTCCATGGAAATGTTCGTCATTATCTTTTCATTATGTTGCGGGCACAAGGCTCTTGGCTGGGTTTGCTCCAAATTCTTGACTACACCTACACACACACACACACACACACACACACACACACACACACACAATCCAAGGGGAAATGTTTGTTAGGCAAAGTAAAATTTCTTGAAAGGGAGATGCACAGTGCAGGCAACCTCTCTTTTCTTGGGGAAGGTGAAGCTACACACCCCATCAAAGCTAGGGTGATCCTTTCATAGGCTAGGGAGTGGTGCCCGATTAAACATTCAAGGGAGGCAGTACTGGGGTGGGACTGCCATGGCCCTTTTGAGGGGGAAGCTCAAGTGTCACGACGTCTCCCTGTTGAGCTGGAGCGCACACGTGGTCATCTCCAGGCAGGCGTCACGGTGCCTCACGCATGATGCAAAGGGAGGCTCAGGTGCATGGTGGAGAATGGGTATGCTGAGCCCGTGTCCACGTTGGGTGCTTTAGGCCAGCACACACAGAAGAGGGCACAGTCTGGGTGTGAGCATGCATGGGTGCTGCTGGGGGTCCTCAGCTATCTGCCCACCACGCCCGTTCCATTTCTCCGTGAACTTTCTTACGTGCCCTCATACACACTTCTCAGCACTTTAAATGCATTAAGCTGAGGCATCACTGGCCATGCAGCAACTTGTCTAACCTGCAAAACAGAAGGGGAACAGCAGTGACTGATGTGAAAATTTAATCCTGCACAGTATGGGGAAACTGCAATGTATGCCTTATCAAAACCAAAGGAAGGCAAATTCATCCTGGAGTTTTTTGGGTTTGTTTTTTTTTTTTGAATTTTTGATCAAAATTGTCCTGGATGATCTTGGCCATGCTGGAGCCCAAGAAGCTGATCTAAAATCTCTCCACAGACATACAAGAGCAGCAGGTGCTAGAAGGGATGACCATTTTGGCAGGTGAACACCAGATAAAGCTAGGAGCAGTCAGCCCACCTTACTGATGGGTTCCACATCCACAGGCTCATCATTGGTACATTCAACCAACTGCAGATGGTAAATGTACAAGGGGAAAAAAAAATCCAGAAAGTTCCAAAATGCAAAACATGAATTTGTAGCATGCCAAGCACTTCACTGAATCTATACAAAGGAAATGATGGGTAAATGTGGGCACTGTACTAAACAGAATAAGCCATCTAAAATACATGCATAGGAGGAGAGAATGTGCTTAGGTTAGATGTAATTTTTTTATATTTTATATAAAGGACTTGAGCATTTACAGATTTTGGTATCTGAGGGGGGCGGCAGGAGGGAACGGCAGCGAGCGGGGCTGGTCCTGGAATCACACTCCCGAGAATATCAAGAACGTACATTCTAGAATCACACGCAACTCAAGTTGTCCACAGAATGAGAGGGGCTGAATCTGACAAAGGGAAAGCCATTTCATAGCCACAGTGGATGAACTGCACTTTGATGAGTTAGCCAGGCCAATCCCAATAGTTAGTACTCATTCTCTTTCTCTGTTGCAAGAGTAAGGCTGAATTCTCTTGTACAGAGGGAGGGTCTTCCCTCCATCAACTCCAGACCACATCTCTCCCTCAGCCGACCACCCTAAAGACACCTTCCCTTAGGAACCAAGCAAGAAGAATGGGTGGATCTGCAAGTGTTCACTGTGAACAGTCTGTGCCGGCCTGGAGACGCACCACTAGGTCAAGCCCTGTCTTCCTTCCCCTGCCCTTTTTCAGTTTCTTTCCATCTAAGTACTTGAGTTTTGATTTATCCTTGGCCAAATAATGCCGGCTTGCAACTTTCTGAGTGGAACCTGACTCGTCATTGCTCATGCACAAGGCCAATTTGTCTTAATTCTCTACCAGGCCGTAGGCCCCAAAGTTGCTTGCGGCATCATCCAACTTAACGGCTTTGGATCTGTCGCTGTAGAGGACCAGGTATCTCCATCATACAGGGAGACAAACTGCTTTGCCAGCAAAGGCACCATAACACTCTGTCAGAATGTCAAGACACTGTTCAGATTTCCATTTTTTTGTTGTTGTTTATCCAAAAGCTTTAGTTTTTTAAGCCTAACAAGTGAACAAGTGACATATTGAACTCAAGCCTGTGACTATTAAAAAAACAAAAAAGATTCCTTCACAACTTCTCTCCCCATCAGCTGCTTCTGTGACTCCAAAGTCACATCATCCTTTATCCCTGTGCACTCTAGGTTACAGCACTTAAGAGCTCAGTGGGTCATGAATACTGAGGCAGAGATAAGGACCCAAAGCCCCAGAATGTAGACACTGCCAAGAGGGCAAAAGCTGATACAGCCGAGTCTACCTTGAAATTCGGTTATCTGCCATCTCAACCTCAAGGAATCCCTCCGTCACAGGGATCCACACACCTGTTCCGAGATAAAAGGACAGTAGTGGGCATTTGGCAAGGGGATTACGATGCTGCTTGGGATATCAACATTCCATATTGGAGCGCCGGGTTCAAGTCCCAGCTGCAGTTCCAATTCCAGCTTCCTGTTCACACAGATCCTGGAAGGCAAGAGGTGATGGCTCAAATGCCTGGACCCCTACCGCCCACATGGGGGTCCAGGGAGACAAGGAAGGAATTCAGGCCCCTGGTTTCCATCTGGCTATTGCTGTCATTTGGAGAAGTGAACTAGCCGATTAAAGATCTTTTTCTCTCTCTTCTCTCTCTCTCTCTTTTCAAATAAATGAAACTAATATGAGAAGGGAGTCTGTGATTCTATATTTACGGCAGCACAATCTACAATAGCAGAGACATGGAAACAACCCAGATGCCCATCCAAAGAGTGGTTAAAGAAACTGTGGTGCATCTACTCCATGGAATATTACTCAGTCAATAAAAAGAATGAAAATATACCATTTGCAACTAGATGGTCCCAACTAGAGACCATTATGCTCAGTGAAATAAGTCAATCCCAAAAAAGACAAATACCATATGTTCTCTCTGATATAACGAAACCATCATACAAATTGGAATGTATAATGATGGAGTAATGGAGACTACCATATCCAGATGTGGGGACACAGTGCAACATGCATCCTTACTTCCAAACAGAAGATGGACTCCCAATGGAAGTGTTGGACATATCTAGACAATGGGATGATGGGCTGCCTGACACTGTCTGTACCAGTAATGCTGGGGCACACTTAAATAGCAGGCTGATGGAATTGTAACTCCTTATAAAGAAATGTACTGTTGGGACAATATGGGAAAAATCAGTCGGGGTGTGGGAGCTGGGAGGGAGGAGAATCCCAGACTATACAGAACTGTACGATAAAATTCAAAAATTAAAAGAAAAGCTAATATTTCCATATATGTGGAAATATATAATGTACATTACATACATTATATATAGTATATGTCCATATATATTATATATATATATATATTTCTATATATATATAAAAGAGAAAAAAACAAGCTCATGATGAAAACAGCTGGACCCGGCCTGGCTGTTGCCGGCATTTAAGGAGTGAACCAGGAGAATTGGAAGGCATCTCTCTCTTGTTTGACTTCTCAAATACACAAAAATAAAAAAGCTGAATAAACTAGGAACAAAGATAATTTGGTAAATGTTGAGAAGAATGAGGTAGCTCAATTTCCATGAGAATGCATATAAGATGGAAGAGTTTGAGGGCCAGGGAATCAAAAGGCGAATGCCAAAGATAGGCATTCAGCATAGAAGTTAAGTTGCTGCTTGGCAGGCCTGCATCCCCTACCGGAGAACCAGGAGTAGAGGCCCAGCTCCACCCTGCATGCCAGCTCCCTCTAACACCGACCCTGGAAGGCGTCAGGTGGCGATAACTCAGGTGGTTGTGTTCCTGCTCCTGGCTTTGGTATGGCCCAGTCTGAAGGGTGAAGTAGCAAATAGGAGGTTCTCTCTCTCTCTCACAAATAAACAAACATAAATTTTAAACTTAAAAAAAAAAAGTTAAATTTGTTTTGGTACAAATATTTTTAATGCCAGGCATGGTTTTTTCATATTATTACTTTCCATGAACTTTCGGAAGACCCGTTGTATTTCCTCTGGGCAGGAAATTTGCTCTGCTTGCATCATGGCTGTAACCCAGTAGGAAGGTAGAAACCGCCACCTAGGAGGTGCCAATAAATATTTGTTCAGTAAATAGCCTGCTAAGTCAGTGAAACGAGCAGCAAAACATTATCCACATATGACCTATTTCTGTGTAAAATTAAACAAGAATGATGTCAGCACAGGCCAAAACAATCATTGGAGTTAGCAGATTGCTACAGAGAGATGCATTACATTCGTCTCCTTGCCAGTGGGTACGTTTGGAAACTTTCCATAATCAATATTTTCAGGGAAAAAAAAAAAAAAGACTGCCACTTGCCAAATCACTGACACTGGCTGTCTCAGGGAAGACTCCAAAGGGCTTTTCTCTCATTGTGGTACGTGGCACGTGTATGCACGGGCTGTGCTGTAGTCTGAACAGCTGGTCCTTCTAAAACAAGTATGCTAAAACACCCTGTGTGACAATACTAAAGGGGGAGGTGGCGGGAGCCCTCTAGGGACACGATGGAATCCTGAGGGCTCCATTTGGATGAACAATGAGGATCAGTGCCCTCAGGTCCCAGGCCTGTGCCCGGCACTGTGGCCTGCTGAGTTAAGCCACCATCTGCCACACAGATATCCCATAAGAGAAAAAAAATTGTTCAAGTCATGTTGCTCCAGTTCTGATGCAGCTCCCTGCCAATGTCCCCAACAAAGCAGCAGCAGATGGTCCAAGTCCTTGGGCCCCTGCAGCCACTTTGGGAGATCTGAATAAAGCTTTTGGCTCCTGGATTTGACCTGGCCCAACCAGGGCTACCTGAGCCATTCGGGGAGTGAACCAGGGGATGGAAAATTCTTTGTGTGTCTATCTGTCACTCTTTAACTGTGCCTTTCAAATAAAATAAATAAATCTTTTAAAAGTTTAACTTTGTCTTAGTTTGTAATAATAAGAACTTTTTTTTAATCCTCACAGGTCATTCTTGGCCAGTTAGGTCTAAAAGTCGCAAGTTCTCATACAGTAAATGTAATGCGAAGCTGGCAGAACCGCAGCTACTGACCGTCAAACCTTCCAGGAGAGCCTAGCTTCGATGACGAGGGACACTCCCCAGGCATACTTGAATACCACGCCTGCTGCTGCTTACACAGAGCGACGTGGTGCTCAACGGTTGTCACTTGCTTCGTTCACTTAGCCATACACCCACTCAACAAGCATTTATTGAGTGCCTCCAATTTTCCAGCCACTGTTTTAGGTCCTACGGATATCAGCATGCCTAAGAAAGACCAAAATAAAAGCAAACAAACAAACAAAAATCTCTGCCCCAAGCAGCCCAAGGTTAGGGCCTTTTTTTTTTTTTTTGCTAGAGGCACCAAATTGGAGTCACATGTCCCGTTTCATTTCCTCCAATGAGTCCCCACAGAAGATCACCACCTCCTATGGGGAGACTGAAGAAATGTGGGCACCTGCAGGTGATGGACATGCCTGTACGTGGAAAAGATTTCAAATCAGAAATGGAAAAAAAAAAAAAGGCCATTCTAATGTAATCACTCATTCTCAATCATGGCCTCTTCACAGCGTTCCCCAGGAAGCCACTCCAGAAATATGAAACAGTTCCTTGCCAGAAAGCTTATTAGAAAAATAAATAAATAAATAAATCGACATTTCGTTAGACCTGGTCCCCTGGTTACTGAGCATATCTCGGTGACGGGCTGCTAAGTAACCAGAGGGCAGCTCCAAGACCAATGAAAGCACCTGGAGCTGGCTCGTGTGAAACCGGCCTTGTCATATCATCTCCTTCCCTTCCCTCTCCCTCACTGAGAACTTAAATACTCAACGAAAGAAGGCTGAGAGCTTATTCACACAAATACCTCAAGCAGATCGTAAGGACACGTATTAAAGCTGCAGAGGCTTAGGTAATCATTATTAGGTAACACTTGCTTTCTACTTCATGCCAGGCAGCTAAAAAGATAAGCCTAACCTGTGCACTAACTCATTTAATTCCCACACAGCCTTATTAGACACGCATTCTCTTCACTGCAGGCAAATAAGGTGTAAGCAGCTGGGTGACTGGCCCAGCAGTAGAGCCACTGGTTGAGATGGCTGCAAACATTGGAGCGCTGAGTTTGAGTCCCAGCTCCACTCCAAAGTCCAGCTTCCTGCTAATGTGCAACTGAGGTACAGCAGGTCCCTGCCACCCACATAGTGGACCTGGATTGGGAAACCTTGATTGAGGTCAGGCTGGCTCGGCCCAAGCCAGTATAAGCATTTAAAAAATGAGCCAGCACATGGGGATTTTCTTTTGATCTCTGCCTCTCACACATGAAAAAGAAAAAAAAAAAAAATTAGTGGAGGTCAATCACCACAGAAGAGATATATTGACTTTGTTCCCTGAGCAGCCCCAGCTCTTCTGGATAACTGCATTGCACACACACCCTTCCCGACCCATTTCAACAAGCCCTGGCCACCACAATGCCCTGGTCCTCTGGGGTCCAGATGAGACCAGCTATAATTCTCAGTCTCCTGCTGGTCAAATGATCCAAAGTAGAGTCAATCATCATTCAATCCCAGTAGGACAGAAGTCACAGGAGAAGGGGGCACAGGGGCCAGACAGAGAGACCACATGAGAAAGGAAAGACCCTGAGATTTCATAAAAGGAGGAGAGGCCTGGCCACCCCGTGGTCCTCTAGCCCGGCCCTCCAGCCACAGCACCAGATACTGAGCAATACTCCACCTCACACATTGCAGCCAGGATGAGCCCCAGGGCACAGCCACCTTGGTCAGCATCCCTCCCCAGCAGAAGAACCCACAGCTAACGACCAGCCACCAGAGTCACATGGGAGGACACCAGACCTACAGCGTTATGCCATTAAAGCCAGGCAGGCTGGGCATTCCCCACCTGCCCAGAACATGCTGGCTCAGAACATTGTCTGTGTGGAGGACCGCTGGACATTGTCAAACACTGAACATCTCTGCTCTCACCTATTAGACATCAGGAGTGCCCCTCCCACCCCAGCTGTGACAACTAAACCTGTCTTCAGACATTGTCAAGTATCTCCAGGTGGCAAAGTCACCAGTGGTCGAAAACACTAGTGTAAGTCAAAGGGTGGGTGTGCCCACCCACCACACAGAAGGCAAGCAAAGCCAGAAACATCACGAAACAAGGCCAGACTAAAGTTTCCATGGCCCTAGATGTTTTTGTATTCACTACCTTCTTCTTTCATTAAAACAAAACAAAACAAAAAAAAGAAACACTGTACTTTCTGAATATTATCAAGCTGAACATAATTCAGAATTATATGCAATTGTGGCATCTACCTTTCTTACGATTTTTAATTAAATTAAACTAATTAAGAGCAAGTTAAATCTTATTACAATTAAATGCTGCAGTCCCTGGGGCAGTGTGGTGACGTAATAGGCTAACCCCTTGTCTGTGGTGCTGGGATTCCATACAGGTGCTGATTCATCGATCAGCTGTTCCATTTCCCATCCAACTCTCTGCCTGTGGTCAGGGAAAGCAGCAGAGGATGGCCCAAAGCCTTGGGACCCTGTACCCACATGGGAGACCCAGAAGAAGCTTCTGGTCCCTGGCTTCAGATCAGCCCAGCTCGAGCTGGGAAATGAACCAGTAGATGAAAGATCTCCCTCTCTCTCTCCTAATCTCTGTAACTCTATCTTTCAAATTAAAAAAAAAAAAAATTAACATGTTGTATAGTCCCTAAGCAATGTGCTGACTATGCCTAAATAAGTCCATCAAGATGGGCCCAGAGAAGCCATATGTTCCTGGAACCAGGCAGGCCTGGCTGGCTCAGCTTCACAACTGAGTAAATTCATTCTTCAAACTGAGTGTCTGTCACTTGCAACCAAGAAACCCGATTCTGCTCCCTGAACTGCAGCAGGTGCAACCGGAATACAAACATGAACCCAACTGGGTCTTTCTTTCTGAGACCAGAGCTCCTCCTCGCTACCACCCACAACTTAACGTATTCCACATTTGGCATCCATCCTTCTCACTCCCTCTACTGCGACAGTTTAAAAAAAAAAAAAAGGTTCCCCAAACTTACACTTCCGGACGAAGTTGCTCACGTGCTTAATTTTCATGAGAGCAGGCTGGCTGCATTCTTCGAAGAGAACAAAGAGGGCATCTAATATCCCTTCCCGGGAGAGAGGAGACATCTGCTGTTGAGTCATAAAGGGTGGCTTCCCCTAAAAACAGCAAGCAGCAGATGGAGACACTGTCAATAACTAAAAGCTTTGATCAATAACATCCATGCAGCGTAAATTACCAGCCACCAACTCAACTCACTGCTCACGACACCCTACCAGCACAATTCTGTGGCAACGTCAATTGACTGTCATTATCATGCGGCCGATTCCATTACTGTGGGTTTCTGCCTCCAGTAGTTGGGGAAAAAAAACCCACAAGTAGCCCAAGAATAAGAACATGTCCTTCATTCTCCGTGGTCTGAAGTGTGTGGCCCCATCTTCCCAAACCCTGCTGGTTCCAACACATCTCCATGTCTTAATGACAGGAAACCATGGTTGACACTTCTTTGGTGTGTGACAGGCTTTAATAAGATCATGTCGGTCTCTTTGATTCACTGGAACAATCTAAAATCATGTGATTGGAGCGACTATCACAAAGCCAAATTTATTCATGATGGGGAGCAACAGCTACAAACTGGCAGACTGTGTGTAGCCCACAGACATGTTGTGTTTGGCCTGTAATGTGTAAAATCATTTCAATTATCTGCCAATATTTAAAAATCACGAGATTTTACCCAGAAACAAACGAAGACAGAATGGGTGGCTTCTCCTGCCACGGCGGTAGCTCTGACAACCCTTGCTGGTCCCCTGCACACTCAGGTCCCCTGCACACTCAGATCCCAGCACACTCAGGTCTCAGCTGGAGACACTGACCATGGCTGCCCTTCATGGGATCCGGCATGTTCCAAGCCGACTCCCCCTCTACCTCTCAGGCCACCTGACTCTTAAGCCTCCCTAAAGCCACGAATCTACAACCCCTGCTCCTTAACAGCGACTCCACGTGTCAGGCCATGGGAGTACATCTCAGTCTCTACGCAGCGGTGGCTGGTGACACTTCAGCTGACTGCAGGTGTTTCCTGCTCCCTACTCCATGAGATGGAATTTAGCTCTCTGCCCCTGAGTCTGTGCTGATGCTCACTGTGGTCATCAGAATAACACAGCAGATACCCCAGGTCAGCTGAGCAGGGGAGCCCTTAGGAAGCCTGGCAGCTTCTGCCTTGGCTATTTTAGGGAATCTAAAAGAGGCTTCTGCTAACCTGGGGCTCAGAAAACTACAGCTTGTGGGCCAGTTCCAACTCTCCATTGGTTCTTGTAAAGCGTTACTGGAACACAGCTACAGCCACTCATTCACACTCTGTTTAGGGCTGCTTTCGTGCTACATGCGAGAATGCATGAGTGGTGACATGACCCACAAAGGACAGGATATTATGGACCAAAAAAATTGCAAGGTCTATGAGGGCCGCAGGTGGCAGAGAGCACCCACATGCTCGATTCCCAGACACAGCCACAGCTGCATGTGGCAGCCCCTGGAGGGGCCGAAACACCCAATTCAGCTCAGCCAACCCCACAGAATCCTAAGGGAAAAAAAATCCTTGTTGTTTCAAGCTTTGTGAGTGGTTTGTTGCCCAACACTGGATAGCACAACATAAACAAACTGTTTGCAATTAAATCACTAGAGAGAGAACTTAAGACACACACACACACACACGCACACACGCACACACGCACACACGCACAGGTTCTCTGCTCCTAACTTCTCCCTTGTGAATTAGAATTTTCTAGACCAGGGGTCCACATGGCAGTCCAGCAGTTAAGCTGTTTTTGCTGCCTCTCCATTGGAGCTCCAACTGTTTCGCTTCTTGCCCAGCCTCATGCTAAAGTATCTAGGAAGACAATGAAAGATAGTTCAAGTGCTGGGTCCCTACTAGCCATGTAGGAGACCCAGATGGAGTTCCTGGCTCCTGTTTTTGGTCTGATCCAGACCTAACTAACGTAGCCATTTGGAGAGTCAATCAGCAGATGGAAGATCTCTCTCTTTCTACCAATCTCTGTCCCTCTTCTTAAACAAATAAGTCTTAAAAAAAAAAAAAGCATTTTCTAGATTATATCTTAGAATCCTTTATTAACAAGTTCCCCCAAAAGAGACTTCAGTGGATTTTCCAAGCACTGGGTCACAAACCCTGTCACTTCAGTCATAGTTGCTCCTTAGAAAAATAAGATTTTGTTTCCTCTCTTCTTCAATGAGTGCAGATCTGCTACAGCAGGAGTTACCAAATATAGCACTGATTTTTAACAAAGTTTTCAACAGCCTGCAGTAAAATGAGGGGAAAAATGAACACCACACAATATCTATTTTATAAAGCCAAATGTATTTAAATTTTAAAATGGTCCTTTATGCTACAATGACGTTCTTCCTATTTGGTATCTTAAAATGTCCTTCCTTTATAAAATAAAGGGGCCAGAAGACAATAAATTTTTCTTTTTATTAGTTTTTTTATCCTGACTTGGCACAATATAAAGTGAGAAATCCGTATGTACTCAGCAACTTGAAGCCTCTGTTAAAGATTAATGTATTTATTTATTTGAAAGACAAAGTGACACAGAACCATTCACTGGTTCGCTCCTCAAGTGGCTGCAACAGCCATCCTGAAACCAGAAGCTAGGAACTCCTTTCAGGACTCCCACACAGGGAGGGGCCCGAGGATTTAGGACATCTTCTGTTGCTTTCCCAGGTTTATTGCCAAGGATCCAGGCTGAAAGCAGAGCAGTAAGAACCTGAACTGGTGTTCTGATATGGTATGCTGATGTTGCAAATGTCAGTGCAATCCGCAATGCCACAACACTTGTCCCAATTTGTAACATTTTGCTGGCTCTGAAAGTTGGCCAGCCTCTAACATAGAACACACTGGGAAGTACTGTTGAGCCAAAAGGAAAACGACAAATGGAGACCCAGTTAAAGACTTACTGGGATGGAGTGCCAATTTGCTACTGGGTCTAAAGTCCAATGAAACAGCAGTGCTAGGGGAGAGGAATAACTTCACCTGGCCACGCAGGGAAGCGTCAGGGGCATGCTACAAGTACAGAGATGGCTTTTCTGGGGACAGCAAGGGAACTCACTACTGCAGCTCAGCTGTGCTTTCTCCCCAATGGTTCAAATGCTATAGACTTGGTCCCAGAGTAGCAGTGTTGAGGTGGCAACAGCTTTCGCGGGTAGGACCTAGCAGGACATAAGCAGGTCTTCCAGAGGGATTAATGCTTTCTCGAGAGTTGAAATTAGTATAATTTTTTTTTTTAAAGCCAGCCTGGCCTCTCTGGTCTCTGCCCTCTTCTCACTGAGTAACCTCTTCTGGGTGTGCACCTGCCACTATGATGCATCCACCACACAAAGCCATCACCTGCGCCAAGTACAGGCCAACACTGGGCTCTTGAACTCCAGAACTAAGAATTAGACAAACTCCTTTTCTTTACAAACTACCCAGGCTTGGGTATTTTATTATGACAAGACAAAATAAATGAACCCAAACACTCACCTGGAGTCTTTCCTGTTATAACAAAACTTAACCGTAAGGTACATTTCATTTCCTAGCCTCTAACACGGGTGGCAGGGTGGCCCAGGGGTTACACGGCCAACTGAGGGATCCAGCCAAAGTTGGAACCTGGCTCTGCCACTGACCAGTTGTATGCTCTTGGACAAGTCCTTACCCCTCCAAGCACACACCTGTGCCCTGCTCTGCTTAACTGAAAGTGTGAGTATAACAGATCTCACCCTGGGATAAAATGAGATCACAGGAGCACATGGAGTCCACGCCCAAGACATTGGGAGCCAGACTATTATGTCATTAGCCCAACAGGAGCCCTTCGTAAACTCACTAAGTGTTTTGTTATGGACTGGAGACGTTTTGGAGTGAACTAATAAAAGGGCTAGAGAGTGGCAGCATCCCAGCCAGCTAAGGTTAGAGATGGAGACGATTCCCTTGGGACATAAAAGGATGGCAGGGATGGCACCATGGCACAGTTTACCTTTTTCATTTTTTGCACTCTGATCTGTTAGAATACCACCAGTACCAATATTTTGGTGGGAAAAACTTCCCACAATACAGGTGTCCTACAGAAGTGTCTTCCTAAATATTTTTAAGAAAGTTATCATGACTATGAAGAATATTACCCTGCACTCGGTGTTAACACTAATCACTCAGCTCACCAAGAGCCAGGAAAGGTGCTAAGGGCTTTATACATGGATGATCTCCTTTAACCTTCCTAACAACCCTGAGAAACAGGCATTTAGACCTCTGTTTAAAAATTAGGAAACGAGGGCCTAGCACTATGACTCAATGACTAAATTTTCACCTTTCAAGCTCCAGGATCTCCTATGGGTGCCAGTTTGTGTCCCAGCTGATTTACCTCCCATCCAGCTCTCTACTTGTACCCTGGGAAGGCAGTAGAGGACAACACATAAGACACATGGGACACCCATGTGTGTGGAGACCCAGAAAAAGCTCCTGGCTCCAGGCTTCAGACCGCCTTAGCTCTGGCCATTGTGGCCACTTGGGAGTGAATCAGTGGATACAAGATCTTTCTGTCTCTCTTTCTCTCCATAAATCTTATCTGCCTTTCCAATAAAGATAAATAAATCTTTAAAAACAAAAATTAGTAAATGGGGCGATGGGACTGTGATAAAGCACATAAAAACTCCACCTAAAACCCCAGCATCCCATGCGGACTGGCTGCTCCACTTCCAATCCAGCTCCCTGCAAATGCGCCTAGGAAAGCAGCAGAGGATGAGCTAAGTGTGTGCACCCCTGCACCCATGGGGGAGACCCAGAACAAAGATCCTGGCTCCTGACTCTGGCCTGGTTCAGCCCTGGCCATTGTAGCCATTTGGAGAATGAACCAGCAGATGGAAGATCTCTCTCCCTCTCTCTGCTTCTGCCCCTCAGGGGCAAGCACTGTGGCCCAGCCAGCATCATAATGCCAACATACCATAAACAGCAGTTCAAGTCAGGCCGCTGCTCCAATTTCAACCCAGCTCCCTGCTACTGTGGAGAATGACACAAATACGTGGGCTCATGCCATCCATGTGAGAGGCCTGGATGGAGCTCCTGGTTCCTGGCTTCAGGCTCGCTCAACCCAGGCCACTACGGCCATTGGCGGGGTGAACCAGCAGATCCAAAATTTCTGTTTCTCTGTTGCTTTCCCTTCTTCAACAAAAGGAAAAACTTTAGTACAGACATGAAAAAGCTAAGAAACAATGAAAAGATCTCCCTTCAAAGGGCAAGCGATCTACTCCAGTCTGAACTACATTTTTCCAATCAGTGCCTAGAAAATACCACCAGAAAAGCAACGTCCATCTACACTAAGAGCCAAGCTGAATGCCCAGGGCAGTCCCGAGGAACAAACACGAGTGAGCGACACGGGCAGGGCAGTTCCTACCTGGAAGAAAAGGTTCAGCCGGGAGGCCCGGCTGGCGATGGCTTCTGCAGCCCCAGCGTCCGGGAGATTCCGCGCTCCATACTTGAACTTGAGCATCTCCTCACTGGTGCTGAAGGGATATAGGAAAAGGTCAAGTGTGTCTGACATTTTCAACAAGAGAAGCTCAAGACATCCTGCTCTCCTCTAGGTATCAAGGACAAGCAGCTGAAATCAGCCCATACCGAGGCTGTGGGCTTTTTTAAAAAAAAAGATTTGAAAGACAGACTTACAGAGAATGAGAGAGAGAGATATCTTTCATCTACTGGGTGGACCCAAATGGTTACAGTGGCTGGGGCTGGGCCAGGCAGAAGTCACAAGCCAGAAACTTCTTCAGGGTCTCCCGTGTGGGTTCAGGGGCTCAAGTCCTTGGGTCATCTTCCACTGCTTTCCTAGATGCATCAGCGGGGAGTTGGAGGGGAAGTGGAACAGCCAGGATTTGAACCAGCACCAATACAGGATGCAGGTGCTACGGTGGTAGCTTAACACACTATGCCATCATGCCGGCCCAGAACCTAGGTTTCAAGAAGGTCAGTCTGGCCATGGAAATTAACAATTAGATTGTAAACTTACCCTAACAGGAAACATTTGTCTGACACGTATCTGTCACTCAAGGGCATCTCTGTCCCTACATCATAAGAGCAGAGCCACCAGATGTGACTATACAGTCACTGATCGAGTGATAAAAATACGGGGCCAGCATCATGTACAGACCAAGCCACAGCTTGGACCACGAGCCTACGTGGCAGCCGTAGCCCTGGTCATTCTGTACACGAGCATCACCAAGGGCAGGCTTCCACCCCTGGAACCCACACAGGAGACCTGGATGCAGCTCCTGACTCCCGGCTCCAGCCTGACCCAGCCCTGGTTGTGGTGGCCATTTGGGAAGTGAACCCAGCAAGATAGTAGATCTCTCTCTCTCTGGCACGCTGCCTTTCAAATCCATAAATGAATTTTAGGGGAACAAAAAAAAAAAAAAAAAAACCCACAAAGGAGCAGACCTCACCAAGCTGATTTCTAGGGCAAGCAGGGTACAATACCCCGGGCACTGGTTCCAAGAGGTAGGTCCTGGCTTCTCCCAGGTCAGGGAGGCCGAGAGGGGCTGGGGTAGTAGGGATGGGGCAGACCGGACCTGGGCAGGGAGGGCCACATACAGAACTAGAGAACATGAGGTAGAACAGGCAGGCCCAGAGAACCAGGATCAAACCCTCCTGGCCCCGCGCGGCACCACCCGCCAGGCCACCCCGGGCGCCCGGGGACAGAGTGGCCGTGCGCTCCAGGCTGACAGACTGACTGACCCTCCTTCCAGGCCCCCACAGTCCCGGCGGACAAACCACACCGCAGGACCCAAAGCCGGGGCTTGGTGAGAAGGGGGCGGCTTTTCCTCTGGCCCTGACAGCCGGGAGGAGAAGAACCGGGGGACGGAGCGGGGGACCCCACACTCACGCTCAGCACCCCCACACCGGCGGCGTTCTACTCCACCCCGCGCCTCCCGCCGTCGCGTTTGAACCAGGGGAGCGGCGTGGGGCGGAGCTCAGCCGTGTCTAGACCAATCATCAGTCGCGCTCCGATGATAGACGTCCGCGTCTCTGGCAGGGCCCGCCCACGTCCTTAAATGACGGAGGAAGTGAGGACGGAGACCCAATCAAATTGCTCTTCCCTTGACTCACGACCAATGGGGGAAGGGAAAGAGCGAGGCCGGGCGGGACAGCTCTTGGGAGTTTGAAATCGGCGGTTAGGCAAGGACGCCGCACTCAGGGCCGCGGTTTGTCTCTCTGGACAGCTTGAGGACGCCGCGGCGGCACAGTTCCCGGCTCTGAGGAACCCCCTGCAAGGAGGAAGGCCATTCTAGACCTGGGCTTGCTTCTGGTCACTCCCGGCTTCTGCTCTACAGCTAGAGAGCCACGTGTCCTGAGCTTGAGCTTGTCCCAGCTCGGGGGCGACTGTACCTGGAGGTCATGGAACCCGCCAAAAAGGTCTCTGGGGTGTGGACAGGTGCTCAATTTCGTTTAATTAGGGCCCTGGAAGTAGAATTGAAGTAGGAGGAAGCTGGAGTCTGCCTGTGGATGGGGAGCCCCCTCCTCCGGACCCCCCCCCCCCCATCAGGCACAGCCAACTGACACTGACTATTCCTTGGAGCAGTGTTTCCAAGAAGACACCTCCGGTCACTTACAAAAAGAGATCTGCAAAGATTGCATGGGAAACAAAAGATTGCATGGGTGGAACAAAATGGGGAAGACCCCCTCAAAAAAAAATGGGAGCCACCCAAATGTATCTCAGCTATCGACAAAATAAAAAATGGACACTTGAAATGTCAGGGAAAACAAAAACCAGATAGTTTAGGAAGAGATCCAAATCACGGTGGCAAAAACAGTGAAAGGAAGCTGACACTAGTCCCCTGGGGTTCAAGTGGAGCCTTTTAAGGTGTTGTTGCGATGTGTTAACCTGGGGGCAATACTATGGATATTATTGTCAGTCAATTCTGGCTCTGTGTGTGTGTGTGTGTGTGTGTGTGTGTGTGTGTGTGTGTGTGTGTGTGTAGGAAGTCCTACAGGGCAGAGCCAACCCTTCCCAATCCCCTCTGATCCCCACATTAAATAGAACTGAAAATTTGAGTTGTTCTCTCTCTCTCTACTTCCCCAAATACACATAAGCATCAGCACAGACTTAAGACAAGCTTGTTGCAGGGCCAGCATAATGGCCCAAGTCCTTGGGACCCTGCATCCCACACATGGGAGACCCAGAAGAAGCCGCTGACTCCCAGCTTTGGACCAGCCAGATTCCAGCCATTGTGGCCAAGATGGATGAGTCTCTCCTCTCTCGCTTTTTTCCTTTTTCACTCTCTTTCCCTCATCTGTAAATCTGCCTTTCAAATAAAAATGTATACATCTTTAAAAACAAGACTTTTTTTCTCCCAAACACATAGAACTCACTTCTTGTCCCCAGGATGATCGTGGTAGCTGTGTGTTGTGTTCTGTTTGAGAGACAGAACTCTAACCCTCTGATTCAAACCCCGATGGCCACAACAGCTGGCCAACAACCCAGGAACTCAATCCTGGCCTCCCACATGGGTGACAGGGACCCAACCATCTGAGTCATCGTCACCGCTACCTACTAGGGTGCAGGTTCGCAGGAAAGCAAACTGCAAACAGGACTTCACCCAGCTCTGGTTGCCCCAAAGCAGTGTCTTAACCACTCTGCCACATGCCTGCTGGGTAGTTACTACTTATTATCTCACCACTGCCACTGTTTCCCATGCACCTCCTCTCGTCTAATCCACCTGGTAGACATGGGAAGAATAAAGATACAAGTATAATTCACCCTGGGTCTTGCAGGTGCAGCTGATGGAGCTGAGTGTTATGTTTCTGGGTTGATGGCAAGGTTTTCCCTTTGGCACAAAACCCACTCTGAGGGGGCATTAGAAATTCTTTCAGCCTCTGGTTCTGCTCTGTTGCAGCAGCTGAGCTGGTCCAAGGGGGAAACATGTGCAAAATGAGAAATGATTCTAATGACTAGGAGATTAAGCCAAAATGTGGGGGTGACAAAAGGAGAAATGCAAAATAGGTTGTAGACTATTGATTTATCTGTTGACTTCATATATATAAAAAAAAAAAAACTCCAAAAGGCTGTAAAAATGGATCTCATTGACACTTCTGTTGTTGCTTTGTTCTTGCCCAGCCACATACGTTAGATTTCAGGCATCCCAAATTGAAGCCTTTATCAGAACCTTGGGACTTGTTCATCTTAAATTAGAACACGGCATTTATATCACTGTCCCAAATACAACCTAAATATCCTACAGGTTTCCTGTTAAAACAATTACAGACCTCTGTGAAACAAGATAATGAATAAACTGCAAATGAAATGATTCTGAACATACAACAAGAGCCCAGCACAGTAGCCTAGTGGCTAAAGTTCTCACCTTGTATGCACCAGGATCCCATCTGGGCACCAGTTCGTATCCCAGATGCTCCTTTTCCCATCCAGCTTGTGGCCTGGAAAAGCAGTAGAACAAAAAAGCCTTGGAACCCTGCACCGCATGGGATATGCTGAAGAAATTCCTGGCTCCTGGCTTCTGATTGACTCAGCTCAGTCATTGTGGCCACTTGGGGAGTGAACCAGAGGGTGGAAGATCTTTCTCTCTGTAAATCTGACTTTCCAATAAAAATAAATAAATCTGTAATTAAAAAAAAGCACACACAGCATAGACGTCATTAACTCTGCCAAGTTTCTCGTCAGGAGTAGTGACTATGCAGAAAGTTCATGGAAACTGAGAATAAAACATGATCAGAGGCCTAAGATACACCTAACAGAATGATCCATCACCTGAACTGTGCCAAGGGGGCACGTGCTATAGCATGGTAGGAGAGACACCTGCTTGCCCACCAGGTCAGAGTGTCTGGTTCAATTCCACGTCTAGTTCCTGCTAAAATACATGGCTGTGCCCACTTCTGATCCCACAAATGTCATTGAGCCTTTTTGAACGTAAACACACGTGCACGCGCAGCTCTGCCTATGAGGAGATATAAGAGCTATGAGATCTGAAAAATGCCTTATAAAATTCAATGCCAGCCAACTCACAGACAGGAAGCAAATATTTGTACATAACATCTCCGGGAAGAAGCCAGTATTCAGAACGTCTAAAGAATTCTGACAATTACAAAATTTTAAAAAGACAAATAACTCAATTTTAAAATCATTAAAATAATTCTTTAACAAAGAAGATATGCAAATAGCCAATAAGCACATGAAAAGATGCTCAACCTCATCAGGCCTTAGGGAAATGGAAATCCAAGAATGGCTGTAATCAGAGAAACAATGCCACGTGTGCATCGGGATACACGAGGAGACTGAACCCCGTTCACCACTGGTGGAAATGTGAAAGCGGCACAACTACTTCGGAAAATAGTTTGACAAAACCTCCAAAAGCTCATGATATGTATCATCGTCAGTATCCATAGGACGATTTCATGCCTCAATGAAAACAGACTGGGGCCAGCACAGTGGTGTAGTGTGTTAATCTTCCGCCTGTAGCACCAAATCCCCCAACAGGTGTACCAGGGATCCCAGGCTAAAACCAGTGCTATAAGGTAGTGAGTTAATCTGCTGCCTAGAGTGCTGGCATTCCACAGGAGAGCTGGTCCAAGTCCTGGATGGTCCACTTGCAATCAAGCTCCCTGCTAATGGCCTGGGAAAGCAGTAGAGGATATAATCCAGTGTACATCCACAAAGGAGACCCGGTAGACGCTCCTGGCTCCCAACTTTGGACTAGTCCAACTTTGGTTGTTGCTGCCATTTGGGGAGTGAATCAGCAAATGGAAAAATCAATCCCTCTTTCTTTCTAACTCTGGTTTTGAAGTAAATTAAAATAACACGTTTTAAAAGTTCATGGCAATTGGGCCTGGCATGGTAGACTAGTGACTACTAAAGTCCTCGCTTTGCATGTGCCAGGATCCCATGTGGGTGCCGGTTCGTGTCTCGGCTCCTCCACTTCCCATCCTGCTCCTTGCTTCTGGTCTGGGAAAGCAGCCAAGGACAGTACAAAGCCTTGGGACCCTGTATCCACATGAGAGACATGGAAGAAGCACCTACCTCCTGACTTCTGATTGGCTCAGCTCCAATCATTGCGGCTACTTGCAGAATGAATCAGTAGACAGAAGACCTTCCTCTGTGTCTCTCCTGCACTTTGTGTATCTGACTTTCTAATAAAAACAAATTTTAAAAAGATCATGGGAAAAGGAATTTTAGAAAGTTTATGTATAAGGGGCCTGCTGCTATGGTTCAATTAGCTAATCCTTCCCTTGCAAGTACCAGGATCTCATATAGGCACCAGCTCAAGTTCTAGCTGCTCCACTTCCTATCCAGCTCCCTGCATGTGGTCTGTGGAAGCAGTAGAGGATGGCTCAAAGCCCTAGGACCCTGCACCATGTGGGAGACCCAAAAGAAGCTCCTGGTTCCTGGCTTTGTATTGACTCAACTCCAGTCAATGCAGCTATTTGGGGAGTTAATCAGCAGATGCAAGATCTTTCTGTCTCTCCTTCACTCTGTAAATCTGCCTTTCCAGAAGTTTATTTAGGTACAAGAATAGTTTTGAAATCCATACCATTTTTTTATCATGCACGTTTTCCATGAATTTTTATTGATGACCCTTGTGCTTTATTTAAGGCAGCAGATCTCATAAATTCACCAAAATTTTAAAATTCTAACAGCTTGTTAGAAACTTCACTCTGATCCCCTCGCTTTCTGTGTGTTTCATCACAAAGGAGAATGAAAGATTTTCTGTCTGTGTTTTTCCTTCCTTCTTTGACCTCAGACAGAGTATTTAAGGAGGGAAGTTAAATTTTCAAAGTGCAATTAAATGGCAATTAGCCTTCGTGCCATTTGATTCTGAGCAATCTTTCTACCGTGGTTGGGCATGTCCGTTGGCTATAATTTCTCCAGAAACATGGGAAGCTGTAAAACAGATCTCTCATCCTTCAGTTTACTAACTTTAGAAATGCTCTTTTTTTTATTTTTA